TCTTCAAAGATCCAATTTAAATAACAGAAAATTGCGCTGCCTGTCTTTTTTGGTTTTTTTTGTTTTTTTTTTCTCCTCCCCTCCCCTTTTCTAGTTCTCTAGAGGTCTTCTTTCTGTAGCAGTGAATTATTCCTTGGGCTTTAACATAACACAGCGTGTATCCCCGAAAACTGTTAAGGGCTGCCTGTCCAAACAGAGCTAAAAGGCTTCCGAAACACTGCCGTCTCGTGGCACCACCGCGGCTGCTGTAGCACGTACAGCCTCACCAGAGGTCACAGGCAGATGTCACAGGCATTTAGCAGCAGGCTGGGTACGCAGGGGAAACTTCCTCAGATTTCACAGATGAAGGCCCCCAGAAATCAACAGCCCAAACAAAAAAAAAAAAAAAAAAAAAACAAAACAAAACCCACAAAAAAACACAAACCACCACCCACCTCAGGGTTGGAAAGGTCTCCCTGCCCAGTGGATGTGTCCACAGCAGAAATCAGGATCACAGCAGAAATCACAATACTCTGAAAATTCATTTTAAACTAGTATTATAGGCAGTCTAAAAGCAAGCTACAAATCATTTGCCTGAGAAGGTCCTGAACAGTTTGTGGTTTCACGTGCGTATTTTCCTGTTTTTTTTTTTAATGTTTTCAGTTTGTTGTCTGAAAGATACAAAGAGAGGAAGCTGTCTGCGTGATTATAAAACTGGGGAAGCAACAAAACTGGTTAAACATGAGATGCTGTCAAATGTATCAAGTAAATACCCTAGGGAAGAAATCTCTCTTCTTGCTCAGTAGTGTTAGTAAGTTAGAATAAGTAAATATAAAGATACACAAAGAAATGCACAGTTTAAAAATTGGCCACACTTATGAAAGACAAAATGGGATACCAAAAAGTCCCTGCAGTTGTGTTGTACCTTTAGCTCTATGTATGACTTTGAAAAAGCTTTCTAGTAAAGCTAATTCTGGGGCTCTTTCTCGACTTTTCATTCTAGGATTTGACCCTGCTTCCCCTTTTCAGATCTTGAGAGATGCCTTCATTTGTTTCTCTGATCTCTCCTAGTGACAGCATCATGGGTTTTGTCTAGCATTGTTTCTTAGTTCTTCAGCAGTCACACAAAATGTATAATTTCAAGCTTGGTTTTTATGATGCTTACTTTCCAGTATATCAGACTGTGATTCATTTGGGCAACTTATTGTTATGAGATAAATTGAAATATAAAATATGTAGGTAAAAATAGTTGGCTTATAAATAAGTTGTGATTGACAATACTGCCCAGGATCAAGCTTAACAAGATATGAAATTAATAAGAAAAACATATCCTAGTGTGATAAAACCTACATTCCTGAGTGGTCGTTGTTTTTGCAGCTGTTGTTTAACTGCCTAGCCTCTTCATAACCAGATTTTGCTTTGCTTTCTTTTCTAATAGCGTATCAGCATTCATTCCATTGAACCTTTGTGGATTTCTACATTAGGCAAAAGTGAAGTAACAGTCAAAGGAGAAAACTTTACACGTGCATCAGGCATAAAAATGATACTGACTGGAATGACTGGCTGTAAACCAGAAATGTGAGTTAAACCCTGAAAAGTAATACTGTTTACTTTGCATAGTGAAAATTATGCCCATTTTGCCTTAGCAATACAGTAGTGTGAACAGTTGTGGACCTCTCCTCAACAGAGTGTGTGTGTGTGTGTGTAGGGGATACTCTGCTCTTATTTAAACTTCCACTTTAAATTCCCAAAGGATGGAAATGAATTTGTTGTTTGGGATGGGTGGGTAGGTGGGCAGCTCTCAGGAGTAGTTATGGCAGTTCTATACCTGTGTCCCTCTGTGCCTTGCAGCAGGCAACAAGAAGATAGGTCACAGGAAAGCCAGCCGCAGCTTTTGTTTGACTCTCCTCTGCTTCAAAATATCCCCCATATGTTCTAGGATTCTGCTTGTGAAAGCGCAGACACCGTGCCAGGGAAGGGAATCTCTCATGCAACAGCATGTACTTTTCTCTGTTGATGATTGCACAGTGTAACCCTCTAAATAATTAGGCTATCTTATTCTGAATCAGTCATTTTCAGGTGCAGCTGCAATGGCTGGCTGTAATTACCAAGACCATTTTACATAGCTAGCACTTGAAAAAATATTCATATGGTACAGTTAAATTTTCAATTCAACCATGAATTTCTTGGGGACCACAGAAAACAAAAGGAGAGAAGGATGGAGAGAGGGAAAGGAGGGAGATGGAGGAAGTAGAGGCAAAGAGAAAGGAAAGAAAGGGAGAAAGGAGCAGGGAAAGAGGGAAGGAGAGAGAAAAAGAAGAAGGAAAAGGAAACTGAATTCTCATTCTTGACTAGCACAGAGAAGTACACTGCAAAGTCCACAGCTTACACGGCAAAATCACACATTTCATTACATAGCCTCATCCCAAGGCTATAAGACCAATATCTTTATCATCTTCTTTGATTATTGTGACATATAGCAGCTTCATTCAAAAGATGCCCTACTTTGTCTCAACTCCCTGGTCTCTTTCCAGTTCCATGTGGCAGCTCAAAGAGAGATTAATTATTCTTCTCTCTGCATCCTTTGCTTTAGGTTATAGGTTTTGTGTAGTAACACCAGTGAGTAACATAGTGGCATCTGTATCTGTGTTTGAGAATCTGACTGTTTTCTTTCTCCTTCAGCATTAAAGTTAGAAATGTGCTAAATGACACACAAATGACATTTGCTCTCCCACCAACACGTAAAGAGGCCAAAAGTATATGTATACAGGCTAATGGGAAAAAATGTTCACCGCCAATGACTCTACATTATGTTTCAGTACCATTATGTTTTGGAATCACACCAAATACCTCCTGGATCAGGTAAACTTGTCTTTCCATACTTTTTGTGTATTTATTAAAATGCAGTCCCACTGAGCCGATACAAACCTTCTTCCTCGGCCAGACTGCAGCTGATGTAAACATGGATGACTGCTGTGACCTGTTATGGAGGATGAATGTATGCTGGTGAACTAATTTAACATTTAACGTAGAGATAGGGTCATGATAGCTGCAAGACAGATTCTGTGTTCTGCAGGATTCTGTAAACTCCTTCTTGCTCACCCCAGATCTTCTTTGTAGAAGTCAAAAATAGTCTTTCCATACTAAAGCTAAATCCAAAATATGGGTATTGTGCATAAATTCAAGCTCCAATTAACTTTGATTTCTTGATACTAATATACCCTTTATCTCCAAAACCGTATAAAGTATCAGTGAATTGGAAATGAAATTAAAATAATCACCACTGCAGTGATACGTTCAGACTAGCTTTAGGACCAACCCCCTGCCAAAAGAACCCTTTTCAAGCCTTTGCTGTGTTTTGTGGGAGACTCACAGCTCCAGTGAAAGACTTACAGGGTGGTTTAAAGATATTCTTAGGCACAGCTTTCCACCTGTCCCTCTGCCTGCACAATTTTTACCCACTTTCATGTTCTTAATCTGATGTCTTGGCATCAAGCGCTGGCAAGTGTGGATTTGAGGTAATAAGTTGGTCTGGCAGCTGCAGCAGCTGAGCAGCTAAGACTCATGCCCTCATCTCCAGGTGAGGGGCAGCTCAGGCAGCTGGAAATTAATAATACCTTAAACCACTCCAACTGTGTTCAGCAGAGATTGTGAGCCAGACCCTCAGACACAAGCATCCTTGTGTGTGCTGAGACAGATGGTCTGAGCACTGCCGAGAATGTTTCCTGCAAGGTGCCTGGCACCATCGGTTTGTCCTGAAGAAGGCAGGAAGTAAGCACAGGCAGGGCAACTCTGGGGCAGTGAAATACAATGTCTTCAAGACAGAATACTAAATCACGGTCCAGTTGTTTGGCTCCCTGAATAGAAACAAGGTGGAGAGTCCCTGAAAAGGACTCTCAAGTAAGCTATCAAGTCGTTTGGTTTTGCGGTGGCAAAAGCATTTACAATGACATTATGAGGAAATAATGGAAGTACACTGTATGGCTCAAATTATCTTGTCCTGCTGTTTGACTTTATTATATTGGCTGCTACCAAAGCAAAATGCACATGAGTAGTTTATTCAGGGCTGAAGCCTTAATGCAGGACTTATCTGTGGGAAAATGTAATATTACTTTCCCTTCACCCCTTTTTTTTTTTTTTTTTTTTTACTTGGGGGGGTCGAAAATTACACACAATTGAT